CCCCCCGCGGCTCGGCCCGGAGGCCCTACCTCGTCGAAGTCGGAGATGATCTCGTTCAGCAGACGCAGGCACTCCAACCCCTCCTTGTTGACGTCGCACTCTGTGTAGAAGACTTTGAAGTCCGGCACCGACGCAAACATGACACACACGCAGTCGTAGGACTGATGGTACCAGTCCTGGGTGGGGGCGGGGAAGGAAGCAGGCCACCTTAGGCCCCCCCGGCCCCAAAAGGGACCGGGAGCAGACAGGGACGTGGCTCCTCGGCCGCCCCACCAAATTCGGGAGGGGGCGCCAGGCAGGTGCCGCTCCGCCCGGCTTCCACGGAGGCCCATCTGGGGGCTGTTACAGAAATAAGGCCATGAGTCCGCTGCTTGGGGCAGGCCAGGCCCTGGTTGGCTTTGGCCCTTCGGTACCCTGGGTCTCCTGGCTGAGGCTGAGAGCCCCTGGGGTGGGAGGAGGTCCCAGATCACAGGAGACCTGGCTTCCGCACCCATCGGGCCTGCTTCCTTATCTGTGAAACGGTGACCCAGAACTGGCGGAGCGCACGCTTTCATCCACACGGATTGTCCGGATGACAAATGCCTGGACGTACATCCGGTCCTCACAGCCACCCTGACCCGTGGGCCCCCTCGTACAGGGGCGAGGTCCAGGGCCCCGGGACGTGAGGTCCCAGGGGCTGCATCCGGACCCTCAGACGCCCTGCCCTAGTGACCCAGGCCCCGCTCGCACCGCACCTCATTTAACTTGTCACCAATGAAGTGTGCGGCCACGTGGGCTGGCAAGACGTTCTCCAGAAGGAGGCGGTTCACGTTCTCCATAGTTTCAAACTCCTCGTGTTCCTTTTTGAACTTCTTCTTCCACAAGCAATCCAAGCGGCAGTAATAGTCAATCTGCAGACGACGGGGGAGCATCAGTGTCCTGGCCGCGGTGAGCAGGGGCAGAACGACACAGGCCGAGAAGCAGCAGGGCGCGCCCATCACCCTGGGGCTGCGGAGCCGTCCCGTCCGCCCTTCCACCCTCTGTCCCCAGCAAATGGCTCCCACTCAGCAGCCACCTCCCAGTGGCCTTAGAGTCCCAGTCAGCCGTGACTCAGTTCTCAAGTGACCCACGTGACCAGACGTCACTGGTGTCCTGATGGGAGGCGATAACAGGGAGGTGAGGACGCAGGGACCCCTCCCTGAGGGACCAGAGCTTCCCTGCAGGGCTGTCTGCCCCAAATCTGCGGAAGTTCCCGCCCCATCCCAGGTCTCTCTCCGAGCTGAGCAAGGGACGCTGGGGGCTCCCCAGGCGGTACCTGTCTGGAGAGCATGATGAGGGTGACGTAAAACAAAACCAGGTAGAAATTGATCATTGCCTTCGGGTCCTTCCACAGACAGAACGGGGAGCTGCTGGACACGAAGGGAAAAAGCAGGAGTCATCTCCAGCCTCCTGCCCAGTCCTCAGATGCAGGGGGCGGCGGGGGGCGGGCCAGAGCCAGCCTGCGGGAAGGCGTGAACGGGACAGAGATCTCTGCCATCCGAGCTCATGTCCTCGTGGCGGAGACGCTAAAGGCAGCATCAACTTGTACAGAAGAGGGTTTGACGGGGAGGTGGGAGAGGCCTCACCACGGCGACACCACAGCTCACACCCGGATGCCCAGGGATAGCCACAGCAAAGTCTGCAGGAAAAGCACTGCAGGCAGGTGAGTCCTCAAAGTGAGTCAGGGACTTCCAGGTTGGCAGATGGGGTTTGCAGGTGCCGCAGACCCACAGGAGCAGGTTTTGTTCTGGGTCCCGAAACTCCAGCCTTCTAAGTTCAAGGGGAGCCAGGCCCCTCTCCTCAACCCACAGGGGCCGAGAGCCCCCAAAAGCACCCACACGCCAGCCCTTCGAGTGTCAGACAACAGTGCTTTCCAGAACTCTCTGGACCTCCAGGACACGGATGAAGGAGGGGGACTGGACTAGAGCTGAGGCCTCCCCCCGACCCACCCCCCGAGCGGCATAGAGACCGGATGACCCAGGAGGCCTCCGTGCGACCAGGGGCGTCTCCCAGAGAACCTGCAAATGAGTCCCTCTCCAGCTCTGAGCGTAGCGGCCCGAGACCGTCGCTTGCCTGTCACATGGCAAGCATGCCACCTGCAGGTCCACCCCACAGGCGTCCAGTCCAGACGGGACCCAACGCAACCGTCCCGCAGCTCGAAACGACGGCGGAACCAAAGGGAGGTGCTGCCGTGGAGCGCGGTCGGGATGGGTGCCGCGGGCCCCACCTGAGGGTGCCGTTGGTCTTGGTGAGGTTGGCCAGGCTGTGGCTGCAGCAGTCCCACTGCCAGCACGGGGAGATGTTGAAGAGCACCAGGTAGGCCACCAGGGCCACCGTCAGCAGCACCACCTTCAGCTCCAGGCTCATCCGCAGGAAGACGGAGCAGGCGACAAAGGCCAGGATGCAGCTGCAGGTGTAATACTGGGGAGGCGGGGGGACGTCGGTCACCGCGAGGCACCCCCCGGACCGGGGGTCACCAGAGAGGGCCGCCTCTAGCCGCGGCACACTGACCCGGAGCCCTGGCCCCGCTTGGGGAACCCGTGAGGAGCCGGCCTGTCTGCAGCGCTGCCCTCTTGCCTTGACGACCCTTCTTAACAAAGCAGACAACAGAGTCTAAAACTTCACGGTATGTTTGCTTCTACCTGCGGCAAACGGGCTCCTCTAAAGGAAAGAAGGCGGTGGCATGTGGACGTGACCAAGGTGGTACACACACACCCGAGCGGCCTCCCTGCCTCCGGCTCGGCCAGGAGCCTGCCCTTCCCGAAGTGCATCTCTGCCCACGTTCCTCTCCTCAAAATCATGCTGTGGCTCCCCACTGCCCCCAGAAGAGAGAGACTCATGGTCCCCCCTGATCTAGATCAAAGCCACCCCTGGCCCCATCTCCCAACTGGCCCCGCTCCACCCCCCTGTCCCATAACCTTCTTGCCCTTCAGAGACCAGCTCCCAATTCACCACCACTCGGGATGAGTGCCTTCAACGTCCCGAGCTGTGTGGGAGCGGTCCAGGTGGGGACACGCGGTGCCCAGAAGTCCGGCCGCACTCACCGGGAGGAGCTCGCACGGGGCCAGCTCCCTGCTGCTCACATCCCCATCCGCCAAGCTCTGGTTGCCTGCAGGCTGCCTCAGGGCCGGGAAAGGCATCAGCGGCTACAGAGGAGACAGGTCACCATGAGGCGTGGTCCGGGGACCTGGGAATCCAGGACCTGCCAGGACCAAGCAGGGCTGGGGGTGGGGAGGGGCCGGAGGGCTGGGCCCGAGGCCTCCGCGACATCTGCCCGGCCCAGCTCTGAGTGTGGCCAGAGTCACTGCCCCGATTCCCCAGCACGGTCCTCAGCTCCACAGTGGGGTCGGGTCTGGGGGAGAGAAGGGTGTAGAATGAAGCCATACGCACACTGTCCCCAGAGCATCAGAGGCTGGTGGTGGGAGGTGTGGGGGGTGGGGGGAGAAGCTGGGATCAACATGGACAATGAGCCCCCTGCTCCCCGGGTGACACAGTGTGGTGGTCGCAGAGTCTCCAGGACACGGAGACACCCTAGCTCTAGATGTCAGAGCTGGGAGGACCAGCAGGGACAGGTGCTGTCTGCAGCACTGAGCACGCGAGCAAGGCCTGAGAAGCAGGGGCTCAAGTGTCCCTCGGGCCTGTGCCCGGGGAACCACTCCTTAGTGAGGAAATGGAGTCTCAGAGAGAGAAAGACAGGGCCTCCTCAGGGGACCACAAAGAAAGGAGAGAATGCCAAAACGCTGGTGATTCAAGACATTGCGGCCTCGTGGGGCTAGCCACAGAAGCTCTATGGGGTCCCCAAGTCTTCGTCTGCAAACCGGGCCTGCCTCGGGAACCTCCCAGAGCCTGCCCGCTGCGCTCTGCAGGGGCTACACCAGATGCAGCTCTCAGGCAACAGGATGATGGGATTCGAGAATCTGAAGCTTCCCAGGGTCAAACACTGGCCCCCTCCACCCGGGAAGCGTGCACAGGCTCGAGGGGTCCTTGCCAGGGCCCGCCTCTCCCACCCCCGGAACCCACCAGGTTGACGATGGTGATGCTGAGCAGACTGCCAATGGTCAGGATGGCCAGGGACAGCCGCAGCAGGGGCTGGGTCTCCACCCTCTCGGAGATGGCCTGCAGTGTCCCTCGGGCGGGGCAGCACCTCTGTGGAGGCACGGGGTCAGGTGGCCGGCGCCAGCACCCGGACAAGGAGCCCACGGTGCAGCGGCCCGGCGGATGCGCAAGCTCCCAAGAGCTCCGCTAGTGACCGTCAGCAGGTGCGCTGTGCCCGTGCCCAGCCCAGAGCTCAGCACTCATGGGGTGCACAGACAGAAGGGACGTTCCCACCCTTCGGGCCGGGGACGGCCACAGCCACTTGGGGGCCACCAGCAGCCTGGGAGGGCAGATTACTGGGAGAAGCACCCGGCAAACTGTCATCCAGGCAGGAGGGGCGAAGTTGAGCACGGAGGGCTCCGGGGAAGGGTGGAGGCAGCGGGAGGGCCGGTGGGGCAGGGCCCAGCCAGGTGCCCGCTCGGGCTTTCCCACTCACCAGGAACTCGTGGGCAAAGCACAGGCCTAGCACCAGCCCCAGCACACAGGCCACCAGCCCGAAGGACACACCCAGGGCCGCCATCCTGGAGAGGAGAAGACCTTAGTTCTGGAGGACCGTCTGCCCAGGGCCAAGCCACAGGCAGGCCCCCCCCACCCCCCAGCACCCCAATTCTCCAGCTCCCGGCCACTTCCTGCCCCTCCCAGACTACTGCCTACACTCAGCAAAGGGGATCTTTGAGAACTGTGGTCCAGCTGCCCACTCCCGGCACGTAGGGCCCGTGGTTCCACAGACTTTAGACTCCTGTCCGGCACCAAAGTGCCATAAAAAAGTGCTTCCTATTTGGTCTTTATTAGGCACATACTGAACCCCAATCCTCGCGGACCCTTTGGCCAGACCACCCTTCCCGAAACCGCCAAGTAGCTGACCTTACTCCTTCCCTGTGACCTCACCCCCAACCCTTCCCCCCACCCAGCAGGGCCTTTGAAACAGAAGCACGAATCTCCGCAGCTCCTGATACCCTGGCCGTGTGCCCGGAGAGGGCCCTAAGCCCACAGGGGACTGGGGAGGGGAGGCGTGTGTGGGAGAGGGAGGCCTGCAGCCGGACAGTCAGTGACAACAAAAATCAGCTCTAGTGACCCCAGGTGTGCGGCCACAACCCCAGTCCAGTTTCTCCCGTCTCAAAAACCAGCCCCCTCCTGCCGGTCAAGAGCGCCGGCAGGTCCTCTGGTGAGCCGTACAAGGTCACCGCCCCTCCTGGCCCGACCCCAGTGGGCTGGACGGTCCCGCCACACCAACTGACCTGGGCAAGAGCAGGATGTGAATGAGCAGGATGCAGACGAAGACGAGGCTGGCACAGGCGAAATAGTGGCGGACCCGGGGGATGGGCGCCAGGCGGTACTGGGGGCGGTGGGGACTATCAGGGGTGGCAGAGGCCCCACCCACAGGGCCACTTGCTCTGACCCCTTCATCGCCCACCCCGGCTCGAGCTAATCACCTTAAAAACACCCTCCTTGAGCTCCAGGTGGCGATGGGACATCATCACGACCAAATAACCCTCATGAGCTCCACTGGGCATGGCTCCTTGATGTTTAGAGCCGTCCCTGCCCCTCCCCCACCCCCCCTCCCCCGGGGTCTCTGACTTGATTTCCCAGGTCCCTGAAGAGCCCATGGCCCCAAGCCTGTGGATGGGAACCAAGTCTGAGCTCTGGGCTGGTGGTGGGTCCGTCCCCAGCCCAAACCAAGGAGTAAGGCCGGGGCTGAGCCCCTAGCTAGTGCTGTCTGCCCCCCTACACCGGGCACAATCTCATGGTCTCCAGCCACAGGGCTCCTACCGCAGATGAGCAGACTGAGGCTGGGACACTTGGACAGCTCAGTCGACTCGTGATGTTGGCTCAGGTCGTGACCTCGTGGTCGTGAGATCGAGCCACACATCAGTGGGAGCAAGCCCCGCACTTAGCGCAGAGCCTACTCAGGATTCTCTCTCCCTCTCTCCGCCCCTCCCCTACTCGTGCTCTCTTTCTCAAAATAAATAAATAAAACTTGAAAAAACAAACCAACCAACCCTGAGGCTCAGAGAGTCCAGCAGCCCACCCGGGTCACACAGCTAGTGGAAGGCTTGCCAGACAGGTTTCCCGATGACCACACCTCCCCCAGACTCCAAGCTCCTACGGAGCCGCCAGCTCAGGGAGCCCCAGCTAGAGAAAGACCCCCCCAGTCCTGGACGCTGAGAGGGGAGAGAGGTCCCAGCACTGGCCACACAGATCAAGGGTCTATGAAGTAGGCAGCAAGCAGCCATCTGTCCCACCACGTGAGGTTTCAGTGGCATAACGTGTGTACCTGGGACACTGCCAGAACCCAGTAGGCGCTCAAGAAATAAGTAAACACTTGGTACAAAAAGCATGTCATCGTGCAGCCAGAGGGAGAAGCCCTTTTTCCTAACTATAAGGCTGATATTGTCAGACTAAGGCGTGCACTGGCCCTTATGGGCAAAGCTCCTAGCATCTGAATGGAGCCTGTCCCAGACCCAAGAGGGAGACTCACTGATGCGGGGGGGGGGGGGGGGGGGCATATCAGGGGTGAGCCAGCAGGAAGAGAGTCCAAACAGAGCCAGACTGGGCCCCACCCCCACCCCCACGGCCAGCCGGGGTGACTCCCCACCACCAACCCTGAACAGACGTGGGAGTTGTTGGCTGTCCCACAGCCTTCACTTCTGCAACCCCCCACCCCCAGGCCTTGGAGCCCTCGTTCCTGGGGCTGCTCAGGGGCCCTCACCTCTCGCTCAAAGCCCTTCTCCAGGAAGATGGACCCAAAGGTGTAGAAGTCATCAGACTTGGAGCAGCAGGGCCTGGGGGGTGGCAGACACAGGCCGTGAGACCTAGCCCGGGGGACTAGGGGGCCCCACCCTTGGGAGGAGATGGGGGAGGAGACGGGGCCCACCCGCAGGAGGCGAAGGAGCCACCGTGGACACAACTGGATCTGGGCCTCCAGACACCAGGGCACAGGGTGGGCCTGGCCAAATGGGGAACCCCCATCGGAGGGGGACAGGACAAGGAGAGGCCTCAGAGTCTCACCTCGTGGAGCTAAGCCCCTCGATGGCCGAGAGGATCTCCTCATCGTAGGAGTCGTCCTCAGACCTGCCCTTGGGGGATGCACTCCTGGATAGGAAACCCGGAAACCCACAACTGCATCACCCCAGGACCACAACTTGCCCAAAGGCAGGAGTGTAGACGAGAGGGCTCACCCGGATGGGTCCCCAGATGCCTGCCAGAGGCCCCAGGGACACAGGAAGGTCCCACTGAGGCCCAGAGAGGGCAAGTGGAGACCCCACACCAAGCAGCATCACCTAGCTGGCCAGCAGCTCAATAAGAAGCAAAGGACAGACCTGGGCCCCCAGGCTAAGGCCTCTTCCGCTAAACACACACGGGTCCCTCACACCAACCCCACTGACCCGACCGCGGGGTGGGTACACAACTCTATTACTGTAAAGTTCTGATTCCTAGAAACACTTTGAGCCAAGCCATGGCAAACTCCATGGTCAGGGTTACCCTCCTGGACAGAGGATGGTCAAGGCAGCCTGCCTGGAGGAGGTGACGGGGGCAGGATTTGGCCAGGAAAAGAGGCCACAGGTTGACAGAGAGGAGGGCACAGTGCATGTACCTGTCAGGGGCCCGGTGGCGCCGCAGGGGAATGGCCTGGAAGAGAAGGGAGAGAGGAAGTTATTCTGCAAAGCAGGACCCGTAAGTCTGTCCCAAAACTGGGTCTATCATCTCCCGCATTCTCGGATCCTCGGGGCAGGTGCAGAGCAGTCTGGGAGGGAGGGTCCTACCTTGGGCCTCCGTCCGTTGGGGATAGGGGTCTCGTTGCTGCTCACGCTCTCGCGGTGGTTGAGGTGTGCAAAGGGCCGTGCGGCCCCCCAGGACTCGAGATAGCGGGTCATGCGCACGGACGCCCTCATCTTCAGGGCCACATCCCCCTTGGGCTTGGGGAGGTGCTGGCTGGGCGGGGGCGGCTGCTGGCTCTGCGGGCAGACACAGACACAGCCTGTCTAGTCCCCTACCCTCAGCCCAGGAAGGGGCCACTGTCCGGATCCTGCCCAACCCCCACTCCTCCCCACCCCCCCACCCCCGCCCGACACTGAATGCTGCCCAGAGCGCTGGCCAGGCTGGTGGAAAGAGAAAACGGCAGAAACACTACGGGTCTGCAATCTCCTTGGGGACTGGCTGCGGCCCAGGACCCTCTTCGGCTGGGCTGCAGGGCAGGTCCCGGCTCCAGCCCTGTCCTTCCAAGGCGGGCAGGACACTGGGGGTCACACACAACTGTGCACAGCCCCTCAGATCCTTCCCCGTGTCCCCAGGGAAAGATCGTGTTAAAGTCCTAAGCCCTAAGGCCCCACTGGGCCCGTGAAGCTCTGTGGAGCCACTGTCCTCGGGGCCTGAAAGCCCACTGGCCTCTCCCCGCAGAGACACCCTGGGGAGACAGTGCCCAGGAAAGCCACTGGCCGCCTACCCTGCCCACCCACATGTGGCCGGCACACGTCCTTCCTGAAGGAACAGCTGCAGGAAGAGGACTGTGGGCCAGGAACCTGAGAGACAGAGCGCCGGCCAACAAGGGGCCAGCCCCACCCCTTGGGGCAGCGTTCCAGGGCATTCCCCTCATGTGGCCCCCACGCCACAGCAGGGACCGTTACTTGCCATGTGCCTGCCGTGGCCGTGGCAGGCCCGGGGTGTCTTAGCCAGGCCCTGCCTCTCCATGGCCCCCTTCCCCCACAAGGAACAACAGCTGGGGACCCCTCCCTGCTGGGGAGGGTGGGCAGGACTAGAGAAGAGAGAGAGCGCCAAGGCCACCAAAGACAAATTTGGGTCATCTGCAAGTCCCCTACCCTGTGAAGGTTCCTGCCTTCCAAGAGTCCCTGTCTCCTTGGGTCCCTGCAAACACCCACATGGACCAGCACCTACAGCCACAAACACTCGCTAAGCCACAGGCGGCAGCTTGCCTGGAAACTTCTAGCCTCCTTTCGGGATAGAAACATTTTTAAACCCTGAGAAATGTCCGTCTGCCCCACCGGAAGGAACAGCTGGAGTCCAGCCTCTGTGAAGAGTTTTGGGGTCCAGAGAATGTGCTGTGCCCTGCAGACAGCGGCCTGCCCTGAGGTCAGGGGAGGCCACATTCTCTGTCTCCCCTCCAGTGGTGGGTAACTCTACCCACACAGCACCCGGCTGCTCAAATTCAGGGTCGCTAGCACTTTCCAGACACCTGGGCTCCCCAAGAAATAAATGTCTATAAAGATCCGTCAGCTCAGGGGCGCCTGGGTGGCTCAATGGCTTAAGCGTCCGACTTCGGCTCAGGTCATGATCTCACAGTTCACGTGTTCGAGCCCCACGTTGGGCTCTGTGCTGACCGCTTGCTCAGAGCCTGGAGCCTGCTTCCGATTCTGTGTCTCCCTCTCTCTCTGCCCCTCCCCTGCTCACATCTGTCTCTCTCAAAAATAAACATTAAAAAACATTTGTTTAAATAAAAAAATAAAGATCCATCAGCTCAGAGTAAAAATGCACCTGTTCAGAAGCAGGAACGGGGAGGTCACTTGTGACCTTCAGCAGCCCACAGGTGACCCCACCTGCCACCTCTGGACACTTGTCCCCCGGGGGTCCTCACACCTAAGAAACGGTGTCAGAGCCCACAGAGGCCCAAGATGGGAAAGGGCCTCCACGTCCACAACAGGAGACGACCCTGAGCTTGCGTGTGGTGGCCTCTGTGCACACACAAGGACATGTCTCCAAAATATGTCATCAGGTGAAGAAAGCAACAGGGTGGGGCACGCTACCCTGGGCTTGGCAAGGGCAGATGACCGTCTCTCAGTCTATTTACATGTGCACAGACCTGTCTGTGCAAGGAACTCAAGAATCTCGACCACGCCGGTCCCCTTTAGTGGGGACATGCCAGCTGCACACAGGACGTGAGGGCGACTGTCCACAACACCCCCTTCGTGCCCTCTGAATTTTCAACTCTGTGAATGAATGACATTCAACCAAGATGGGGGAAGGCAGGGCTGCTGGGGAAAATGTCGGACGCCCCGTGAGATCCTGCCCAAAACACGCTCATGCTAAAAACTTCTTCTTTGCTGTTTATGTGAAACTCAAGCTCGCCTAGGAGCCCCGTGGTTGCCTGGCTGAGGCGGCGGCCCGGTGGGACCGTGCCCACCGCTGGCCTGCGGGACCAGGGCTCTGCTTCATCAGCTCACAGGCTCTCTGAGCACCTGCTCCACTGTCGGGAAGCACTCAAGGTGCAGGGACTGCAGCCTGGAGAAGAGGGGCCCCCCTGCCCCAAGGTGGCCCACGTGCAGCTCACGCAGACAGTAAATAAGCAGAGACGACAAACAAATGGGAGCATCTGAGCCCTCAGAGCGAAGAGGGCTGTGGGCAGAGACAGCAGCAGTGGCAAGGGTCCTGGGGTACAAAGAGCCTGGCAGTGGAGGGACAGGGGCTGAAGGGCTCTCAGGAGGGAGGGGCGGGGTGGGTGGAAAAGAGGGTGGGGCCCAGAGCTGTGGGGTACAGGGTGAGGGGCCACACCGTATTCCATGACAGCCCCAGGTACCCGGAAAGAGTTTCCCCAGAAGCTCACTCAGCACCCATGGCCCACATTAGGGGAGGGGACGCTGCTGAGCAGTTCCCATCCCTGAGGAGCAGGATGGCGCCCCTGGGGCCTGGGGAGGCTCACAGGCCGGCCCTCTGCTCCCCCACAGACTGTCGGGCCAGCTCTGAGGACGGCCAAGGCTAGAGAGAGAGGGAGCTGGAAAGAGCCTGTCGGGGCTGACATTCTTGAGCAAGTCCCAAGGATGATTCACCGAGGCCGCCAGACGAGCGGGCCTCCCGTGGCAGGAAAGAAGGCTGTGTGGGCGCAGGGCAGGGCCAGGGCCTACCGGCCTTACGGCAGCCCAGCAGCTACCCCCGCCACGGGGTCCTGAGGAAAGTGGGGTCTCCCCACCCCCCAGCAAGTGACGGCACCAGCCAGTTAGGCGGCCACTGGGGGGCAGAACCCTAGGCTCCTGCCTAGTCCCACTCTCCTGACTCAGCCAAAGCACATTTTAAAAATGTGTCTTTTCAAAATCGAGGAAATTAGTGACAACCCCCCAGAAAATAAAGTAACAGCGACTATCATTTCTGGGACGTTTATGAGGTGCCCCTTTATGGTGAGGGCCTCACTCAGACTAGCTCCTCCTCCTCCTGAGGTAGGCACTGCTGTTATTCCAATGGCACAGACAAGAACACTGAGGCCCAGAGGCACTGGAGCCTAGAATGTACTCCGTGAGGCGGAGCTCACCCCTACCCTGGGCAGGCTGCTACCCCACGTCTCCACAGCCTGGAAGAGAAAAGCACTCTCCCCTCCATGGGGATCTTCCCCCAGGGTGTGGACCCTGCTCCCCTGCACAGCCCCGGCTCCCAGGGTCTCCTGAGCGAGGCCCTCCCGCCCGGCTGCTTCTTCTGAGCCCTCGTACCCGGGGGTCGATGACCAGGTAGGTGTGGATGTTCATCTCCTTCAGGTGGGGGTCCCGCTGCTGCCCGTGCCCGTCCTCCACCTCATACGCCTTGTCCAGGTGGTTCAGCGTGGCCTCTGTGATGTGCACCCGGCTGGGGGAGACACGAGTCAGAGCAGCAGGGCCCAGAGGAGGCTGGCGTCCACCGGGGGGGGGGGGGGGGGGCCCGGGGGGGGGGCGGGCCGCCCCCCCCCCCCCCCGGCCCCCCCCCCCCCGGGGCCGGGCGGGCGGGGGGGGGGGGGGGGGGGGCACCATGGGCGGGGCCGAGCAGGCCAGAGCCCGGACTGGCTCCCCCAACGCGAGGTCACTGCTCCCATCTCTGACCCCACCCTAAGCCCCCAACCCAGAGTTGGCCCACGGCCTCTGACCCCGCCACCGTCCTGCTGCGCCTCACCCAGGGACTCCAGCCGCCTCCATCCTGTTGGCCAGAGACACATCGTGGGACCACACGTCGTACTGCCACTTGCGCAGCCCAATGACACCACACAGCACGTTCCCCGAGTGGATGCCCACACGCATGCTGATGTCCACACCTGTGGCCTCTCGCACCTGCCTGGGCAGAGCAGTCCAGTCACCCCATCCCAGCCAGGGCTGCTGAGGGACCCAGGCGAGCCACTTTCGCCCCGAGCCTCAGTTTCCTCAACTGCAAAGTGGTTCCAGTGCATTCCCTACCACGCGTTGGGAAGCAGGACCCAGTGCCCCGGTTCTGCCCATGGTACCTACTTAATGGCCTCACACATGTCCAGCCCCATCTTCACACAGTTCCGGGCATGGGTGGGCAGGGATACGGGCAGGCCCGACACACAGTAATAGCAGTCGCCCAGGATCTTGATCCGCATACACTCATTGGCCTGCAGGGCAAGGCAAGCAGGGGCCTGGTCGGCAGATGGCTAAGAGCTGGGGTCCACACGTGCCAGGCACCTCCCCATACTCTCCAGAGTGAGCCAGACTCCTTCGTGGCCAGACGCTTCCTCTGGGGTACCAGCCACCAGTAGCCGCTTCTGGGCCTGACAAAAGGACTGGGGATACGGAGGACTCTCCAGAGGGAACCCCTAAGCAAGAATCAGGGGTCAGAGCGGGTATTACCAGGGATGGCCACCCGAGTGCCTCTGGGAGAGGCACTGTCTTTGCTTCATCCGGTCATGCAATGCTGAAATGTCCGTGAGCTCCCTGCCCCACCCAAGGCACTGGAACACACAGGGAGCAAAACAGACAAAACTCCCCACAACGTGGGGCTCACACACTAGCGGCAGTTAGACACTAAACTAGACATCCAGCGGTGAAAGTGCTAAGGAGAAAATGGAGGGCTAAAGGCTGGCTAACCTCCTGGAACACAGGTGTCCTCGGCCTCCAGATCTGGTGCCCGTCCCCTCCCATGCCCAGCCTCAGTGACCAGGTAGGGCACCATCCCTCCCATTCAGTCCCTGTACCAGCCACGCCTTTATGAGCAGTCCCTTTACTAAACCTTCTTCCAATGACCTCATTTGAGTGAGTGCCAGTTGTTTCCTGCTGGGCCCTGGCTGCCAAGGGATGGGAAGACAGTGGCTTTTCTAGAAAGCAGCAGGAACCTTGGAGAGGGCCTGGAGGCCCAGCCTGGAGACTCAGGCTCAGGGCTCCAGCCACCCTCATCTCCACCCCAGACAAGCACAGCGCTGCCCTCTGGAGCTGGGCTGTCCGTCAGAGACTTAGGCGAGCCCACATCCCCCAGGCTGATGCCCCACCCTGACACTTAGAAACCAGGGAAGTTAGGGGCGCCTGGTGGCTCAGTCGGTTGAGCGTCGACTTCAGCTCAGGTCATGATTCACGGTTCGTCAGCCCGCATCCGGCTCTGTGCCGTCAGCTCGGAGCCTGGAGCCTGCCTTGGATTCTGTGTCTCCCTCTCTCTCTGCCCTTCCCCCGCTCGCACTCTCTCTGTCTCTCTCAAAAATAAATAAAACATTAAAAAAAAATTAGACAATAAAAAAGAAACCAACGAAGTTGTGTATGTTGGGGGTGGTGGGGTCCTGAGTCCAGATGTGGTGCAGGTGCCTCTGGGAGGGTCGGCCCTGGCTCTCAGAAAGAGGGTACGGATCTGGAATCTGCTGATAGGACAGAAGTCTGGGACCAGCCCTGCCTAGGAACTAGACACTCCAGCTGGAATGCGTCCCTCTCCCCATCTGTACAAAGGACCTGCCTCCTGCGCCTGCCACAGAAGGAAGGTGGCGTCCAAGAGGACAACAGCAGGTCCCCAGGCTTTGTGGCAAGGAAAGAGCCACCTGTGACTGGAAACCCAGGCTCTTGGCCCACATATGGCCCATCTACTGGGAACTCCCACCTGCTGGTTTAAGAGATGTCATGAAGGAAGGAGGCTCCTGAAGGAAGGCTCCAGACTAGACAGGCTCTGAGTCACTCGGTCCACAATACCCCAAGGGACAGTGCTCCAGGGCACTCCTGGCCAGTAGTGCTCTCCGGTAGTTTAGCCACCCCCCGTGGTGGTCATTCTCTAAGACGGAGGCCACTCCTGGGGGGCCAGTCTCTCCTAGAACAGAGCAGCTCTGACCATGAAAGAGTCCTCCTGCTGCGGGGCCCGAACTCACCTCCCATCAGGGTCCACACCACTGGTTCTCCACACACGGAGTCACCCGGGAGGCTCTTAAAATCTCTCCCAAGTGCGGGCATGGGTGCTAGCATTTTATTTAAGCTTTCAACCTGATTCAGGTGTGCAGCCAGCATAGACAGCCTCGGCCTTCAGTGTTAACACTTGGGTCTCTCCTTAGTGGCCACCACTAAGCCTGTCTTCACCGGAAGCTGGCCCAGCTGCTCCCCAGGCCCCCCAGCTCCCTGCACCCCTCTTCAAAGCACATAGCATACAGGCTGGGAGCAATCTGAGGGCAGGGCCAAGGCCCCCACTTGAGCTCAAGGCTGCCACTCGGCAGGTCTCGGGACCATTCGGTAAATTAACAAGTAACAGTACACACACACACACACACACACACACACACACACACACGATCCCCCGACCCACAAATATCTGTTCCCTGCCCCCTCCCCCAGTCCCAGTGCTGCTCGTGAAGATGAACAGTGATAGCCCAGCCCAGCCCTGCTTAGTCTCCAGACCTCTCCCTGGTCAGCTGTACCTGGGAGACCCTCCTCACCCAATGCCCACCCCCACTCTGGCATCTGCCACATTCCCCAGGGTCCCCGGATCAAGTTCTCCTCATCTCAGCCCTAGGTCCTTGCATGTCTGACCCTGGGGCTTCGTCTCCCTCATCTTCTGTCCACTCACACTGAGCCACACTCACTTCAAGGGCCCCCAGAGGCTTCCTTTTATTCCAACCTTTTGCACACGCTGTTCCCTCTGCCCAGAACCATTGCTTTTCCTCTTCAGGGTCTCTTTTTAGGTTCCTCAAACTCTAATGTGCACACGGTTCACCAGGGATCTTGTCAGAAGGCACCCTGTGGGTGAGGCCCAGCATTTTGCAAAGGCCTCCCAAGCTCCCTGGGGAGGCCTGCTTCTGATGCCCTCATGCGGTGAGATAGAGCCATCTCCTCCTCCAGGCAGCCCTCCTGAGCCCCTGTGCATCCCCCGACGTGTACTGGCAGTCTCCCCCCTGACCTCACACTCTGGGGACAGGATTCTGGCTGCCACCACAGAGCCCTCGGAAGTGTTTGCTCACTGAGTGCTACGATTCAGGCCTCCGCACACCCATGTCAGCACAGCACTGGGCACATGCCACCCGTGGGGACAAGGGCAGCACAAAGGCCCGCGGGCTCACCTTGGCGATCTGGTCGAACTTGCCAAAGAGCTCGTTCAGCATCACCACCAACTCTTTGGGGGAGCAGTCGCTGGCCAGCCGCGTGAAGCCCACGATGTCGGCATAGAGGATGCTGGGGGCAGGGGTGCAGCCGGAGGGTCAGAGCCAGGTCCCTGGAAGCCCCTGAGCACCCGCCAGCCCTGAGCCCAATCACCCCGGCCACTCCTCAGCCTCCGTAGGGACAGGAGAGAAGCTCGGGGCCATAAAGAGGAATTAACGTTCCAGAGGCTTAGTATTAAGGCAAAACACAGCAAGCCCCAGAGTCACAGGGCCATCGAAAACTGTCATCCCCAGGCCCCCATCACTGCAGACCACAGGATGGTGCTCTCACAGGCGCCTCGGAATGCCCTCCTCCCTTCCCACCTTTGCACAGACTTCAGAACCAAGCCTGCTGGTGAGACGAGACTCTGTGCTCCCTCAAGCCAAGCTCCACACCCGACACTCGACATACACACACTACCCTTGTAGGGCTCCCATTCCACAGATGAGCAAACTGAGGCTCTGGTTAAGGCCCGCTTCGAAGCCAGAGCTTCAGTTTGCACCAGATCTCCCAGCTCAAAGTCCATGAGTTCCAGACCAGCTCACAGACAACCTCACTGAGGTTGGTGCATTCAAATAAGATTCTGGAGCCGCTGTGAATCTGCCAAAGACGGCTGTCAGGACCAGGGGACTTCGCCTCTTTTTAGGGGGGCCTGTGCCCCCTTGCGGATCACCTGAAAGGACCCCTCTCTTCCTAAAGGCCCCACTTATGTGCAGAGCTTTACAATTTTAGGGGGCTACTGGATCTCTCCCGACACCAATCTGGTCTGATCCGACCCCCTGGGGAGACAAATGGGGAGACTGAGCTCAGATTCACCTCCCCCAAACCCCCTGTGGGACCCACCTGACGTTCTGGTGCCGCTTGACGTACAGGCTGTGGAAGTTGTTGTCGGGCATGTAGCGGCGGTCCCCGCGCTCCTTGAGCCGCTCGATGATGGCCAGCTTCATGCCCATGGAGATGTGGGCGGGCAGCACCGACAGCAGCAGGTTCTCCTGAGCACCGGTGGAGGACAGGCAGGGGGTCTTGAGGCCCCAGCCTAGGTGACTGGCCTCTGTTTTCTCTATGTTCCTTCCTGCTTTGCCTGGCGCACCCTCCATCTCCGCTGGCCTGTGTCCTGACACCAGCCTCCCATGTCCCCAGCAACCCCCAGGGGCAAAGCTTGCATGGTTGTCCAGTCATGCGGCCCATGCTCACACTGTTCAGTGAGTGTCTGACATCCACCAAGAAAGGACACAGGGCGTGGGGCCTGGGAGACAGCCAGGCAGGGCCGGGGAGGACCGGGCTGTGGCTCTAGGGGGAGGCAGGGTCCACACCTGCTGACGCTTCTTGACGCGCAGTTTACGACGGATCTGGATGCACTTGACAGTGTAGGTGAAGAGGTCTCGGGAGGCGTCCTGCATCTGGTGCTTGTGGAAGGCGCCCGTGAGATTCCCACACAGGAAGATGACAGCGTTGGCCAGCAGCTGAGGGCGGGCGGAGGGCAGGCTCAGCATATGGCTTGGCCTGTGCCCTCAGGCTACCAGCCCCCTCAGCAGGCTGGTGATGGCACCCCAACCCCATTCTCTGACCTTCAACCCACTCAGGCTGGCACCCTTCCCAGACAGGCAGGGAAACTGAGGCCCAGACAGGTGCTGGTCCTCTAGAGTCACTGTGACGATTAGACCAGGTCTCAGGCTGGGGACCCTGAGACCAGGGAAGCAGAAAGGCATCATCTCAGTTCGGCCCAGAGGACAGTCACAGAAGGCATGGCATCCCGATAGGTGCCCAGAGCTCCGGCTTCTGTCTCCCAGAGCTGACACCAGGCCTGGTCAGAGGAAAATACCTCTCCTGGCCACCACTAACTGTGAATGTTTCACTCAATGCAAAGACACAAGACAGGGTGCCCGGGGATATGCTCCCAGCCCTATCAGCATGGGACTCTGCAGGTGACGCTGAGCTACACAGCAGGACTGGAGAAGGAGGGCCAGATCGTCAGGGGCACCACAGGCCAGCAAAAAAAGGCCACAGGGCATGGCCCTGCCCAGGGGGCCGGCTTCCCCAGCCGACTGAGGGAAAGCCTAGCCTGGAGGCCATCTGTCTGCAAAACAGGGTGCTGAGGCCTCAGGACCGACTCGCCCACACAGGACTCCGCCGCCCTCGGGACCAAACCACAGACCCTGCCTCCACCTGCCCCCCTCCTGGGCCCCTGTGCACACCTCACCTGCAGCCCTGCATGGACACTGGGCGTCGTGAAGGCCTCCATCAGAGTCCCGATAACGAGGAGGTGGGAGATGCTGGAGACTGCCCCCGCCACGACGGCCCCCTGCATGCTGAAGGGCAGCAGCGTGTACACCACGAACACAATGAAGAGGAAGAAGGGCACCTGGGGGCAGGGAATCATGAGGCTCAGGGACTGGCCCCGCCGCCCCCGCCCCAGGAAACAGCCCCAGACCGAGCCGACATCAGGGCCCCTGCAGTCTCTATTCTTCTGGGGATGGCCCCCAAAACCCGAATCCTGAGCCCTCTGCCCCCAGGGCGGCCTCTTCCCCTCCCAGTGGTGAGGGACAGAGACAGACTTGCAATAGAACGAGAAAAAGCCAAAGTCTGCTTCTGGGTCAGACCCAGACAACAGTAACCATCACTTCCTATGAGCTGATTTATGATCTGGGGCCGAGGCCAGGGCTCCCCAGGAGTCAGACTCAGGCCCTTGTGGTCGAGGGAATTCCCGCCTGGCACCCACTGCCGGGGCTCTCCCTCCACAGGAATGGTGATTGGCAAAAGGCTGGGGCAGGGTCGGCTCACTGGCCGCCCCCCGCAGATCAGCCCAACCTGGGGATGGCCCGCCTGGGAATGAAATGGCACAGGGGAAAACAGAACAGAGAGCAATTGGGACCCGGCCATCCCGCTGGAGCCCCAGGACTGGCGCCCCCAGCCTTTCCTGGCACACGGGCCCGTTTGTGCCTTTCTGCCTCTCTGAGCTGGAGTTGTGTCATTTCCAACCAAATGAGGGTCTGCCTGCAATGCTCCAGCCGGACATTCACAGGGACACTCTTCCCAGTTCAGCCATCTCTCCAGCTCAGAGAGCTGACAGGGGCCCAAGATCAGCCCAGGGCCCACCCTATGTCACAGGCCCATGACCCATGGCAGGAGGAAGGCCCAAGGCCAGCACACTGAATGCAGGCACGAGTTTCTGGGTGCACAGCTGGGTGGTGGCATCCAGCCCCTGGGGACACCAGGGTCCCCCCACCCTGTTACCTGTGCCCCCATGTGGGTTGTCTTTATCCATGAGTCGAACACCAGCACATAGCCCAGCATCATAAGGCAGACCCAGATGAGCAGCGCCGAGGCCCTGAGCCACCGCCGGACGAGGCACTCAACATAAACCAGCACGTAGAGAACCACAAACACAGCAAGTGTGAAGAAGGTCGTCCCCAGGACAGTCTGGTGTCCAGAGGGGTCCTGGGCAGGGCAAACATACACAGAAATGCCTCAGCTTTCCCCAGTGAGGCACTGCCTCCTCCAGGAAGCCTGCCAGGCTAGCCTGTCCAGGCTGCCCCGAGCAATGTCACCTGTGTTCTCCACACGGGTGACATCTATGCTCCGTCTAAACACCAAGCTCTTCCTTACCTTCAGGCTTTGTGCTGTCTTGGCTAAGGTTGCCTTCACCACCATCCTTCACCAGTCGCTTCCTGTGCAGCCCTGAGATCCTGCACAGCCCAGCCCTGTGATGCTACCACTCCCCAACCCCTCCCTGTCAGGCCTCCTCTGCTTCCAGGGTGCTCTGTGAGGACCTGCGGGGGACAGATAGCACCAGAGTGCAGGAGCAAAGCCGTGGAAAGCCTCCTGGAGGAGGCCACTGCTCCTGTCTGTTACAGAATGAATGGAGGTTAGGAGCAAAGGCTGACCAAAGGCGTCCCAGACAGGGGAAGAGCTGGAGCAAAGAGACAGAAGTGTGACACTGGGAGGTTGTTGACAGGAAAGGAGAGTCACAGCTGGGACAGCACCTGGTTTCCCCCAGAAGCCCCTAAGCTCCACGGGCACAGAGGCTGATCTGGGGGCCAGCATACAGTAGGTATTCAGTAACCATTTGCTGAATGCAGAAACCAATGTCCTGCGGTTTCCAGCCACAGATACAGGCAGCACCGACAGTGCACCCACTGAGTGCTGGCTGCTGTACCCATATCACCCTGATAACACCCTGTAGTCTCTGAAGTTTTCTTCTAGAACTCTGCTGCTGCATACAATGGCTACTAGCCACGTGTGGCTATTCAAGATTAATTTTACACCAGGGGCGCCTGGGTGGCTTGGTCAGTTAAGCATCTAACTTCAGCTCTGGTCATGATCTCAAGGTTTGTGGGTTTGAGCCCTGTGTCTGGCTCCATGCTGACAGTGTGGAGCCTGCTTGGGATGCTTTCTCTCTCCTTCTCTGTTCCTCCCCGACTCATGCTTTCCCCCTCAAAATAGATGAATAAACTTAAAAAACAAAAACAAAAAAAAACTCAGTTCCTCAGGGATACCTGGGTGGCTCAGTTAGTTAAGCATCCAACTCTTAGTTTTGGCTCAGGTCATGATCTCTTGGTTCATGGGATCGAGCCCTGCTTCAGGCTCTGCAGTGCTTGGGATTCTCTCTCTCCCTCCCTCTCTGCCCCTACCGTGCTGATGCTCTCGGAAAGAAGGAAGGAAGGAAGGAAGGAAGGAAGGAAGGAAGGAAGGAAGGAAGGGAGAAAGGGAGAAAGGGAGGGAGAAAGGGAAGGAGGAGGGAAGGAGGAAGGGAGAAATTAATTTACTTTTTTAAAGCTTCTGTTCCTCAGCCACACTAGCCACATCTCAAGAGCAGTGGCCGTGGTGGGGCAAGGCCTAGGTCAGAGATGACAGCAGGGGCGTCTGCCTCAAGACCGGGGTTGAGAAGGACTCTGAGGCCAGAGAAGGAGTGCTGGGAAGAGGGAGTCATGACACGCGAGCTGTCCCAGACCTAGGTCTTCCGTAGAAGTTTGCTTTGGAGAAAAGGAGTGTCGTTTACTTGGCCAAATGAATGTAAGCTCGCAAAGCACCCCAGACTTCAAAATTAAATTAAAATTAAAAGCCTAACTATGCTCCCGAGCACGTCACAGATGCAGAGCTTCAGGCTGAGAGGAGTCCACGACCTGCCGGGAGGCCTCGCAAGCCCAGAGCGGCAGAGCCGGGCCCCGAACCCGCCGCGGGCCGGCCGCCTCACTCACCCCGCAGACGAAGGCGATGACGATGAGGGCGACGCAGGCAGTGACAGCCACCAACAGGAGCGTGAGCAGCAGCGGCCCGTGCTGGCTGGTGAGACGGTACTTCTCGTAGAGCACGTCCTGGTTCGGGCCCTCCTCGCCCTCGTTAAGGAAGTAGCGCCCCTTGGCCGGCATCTTCCCCCCGAGGCCCACCCGCCCGGCAGTGCCCTCAGGAGACCCCACGGCCTGGGGAGCATCTGTCTGCAGACACCTTCCCTGGTGGGCCTAGGCCTCCGGCCTCTCGGAGTCTGGCAGGCGGGGCTGGGCAGGGGCCCCCTCAGCAGGCAGCCGCGTGGGCCACACGGGGCCCGCTCCGCTCCGCGGCCAGGCCGGCTTACAGCACCACTGGCCTCTTCCTCTGCATCCAGGCCGGGCTGACCAGACACACGGGGTCCTCGGCTCTGCGGAGACACAAAGCAGACCCGGGTCTGAGTCATCAACCTAAACCCACACCTAACTCCTAGGTCCCGTTTCAGGCTCTGTGCACAGGGCCGGTTCCCTGTGTTTCCCAGGACTGCAGCAGCCACTAGCCACACGTGACTATTTAGAGTTAACTGGGTTAAAAATGAAATTAAGGGGCGCCTGGGTGGCTCAGTAGCATAAGCTGGTTTCAGCTCAGGTCATGATCTCACAGTTCGTGAGGTCGAGCCCAGCGTCAGGCTCTGTGCTGACAGAGCGGAGCCTGCCTGGGATTCTCTCTCTCCCTCTCTCTGTGCCACTCCCTCCTGCTCTTTCTCTCTCTCTCTCAATTTCTTTAAAATGAAATTCAACGTTCAGTCCAGCCATCACACCAGTCACATTTCAAGTGCTCAAAAGCCACACACGGCTAGTGGCTATTATATCCGGCAGCACAGATAAAGAGCATTTCTATCATCTAGAAACTTCTACTGGACAGCACTGCCCTAACAGTTTGACTTGCACAGGGAGGTGGAGGTCTCTGATCCATCCCAGCGAATTCTGTGTATGGCGTGAGGCAGGGATCAGCCTTCATCCCTTTCTTCTACATGGGCATCTGATGACCCCAGCAGCTTCTGGAGAAGCCACCATTCTCTCCTCAAGAAGTTCAGTGCAGCCACCTTTGTGATAAGTCAGGTGACTGTGCATGCGGGGTCTGTTTGCAGGTCCTTGCCCAAAGACCACACCCACCCAACTACTGGGGCTTTGTAGTGAGTTCTGTGTCTCAGACCCCCACACCCGCTACACCCAGACCCTCCCCCTTGCGTTCATGTTACATTAAGCTTCCACGAAAGACTGCCTTTTTTAAGTACATTTTTTAAGTTTCCACTGACAAGAAGTTGAGAAGTTTGCAAGCTCCACTTCATAGAAAAGGAGCCCAAACCTCAGAGAGGGAGCACAGCGGACACTTTATGGCAAAATTGGGAGCAGATGCCAGGCTTGCAATGCTCAGCCCAGATGGACTCCCTCTTTCCCAGCACCATTCATTCATTTCCTTATTCATTTCTTCCAAAAAGGCAGTTAATTGTGCCTGTGGCCCCCTAGGCCCACTACATACCTCCCGTGTGCCAGGCAAGCTCTCTCTCCCCCTGGAACTCCCAGTCCCCAAAGAGAGAGAGTTACCCAAAAAGGTGCCATCCCTACATGCAGGGGCTGAGGCCTGCGGGCAGCTGCCATATTCCCAGCGGGAACCCTGTGTCACAGGAGCAACACTGGACCAGAAGTCCAGGCTCCCAGCATTCTCCAGGCCTGCCTGAGAGACCGGAAACAGGACAGGGCTGGTGGCAGAGGGCAGGGAGGAGGTAAGATGTGGGAAGGCTCAGGGCAGTCACGAAGGGCACGAATGGCCACTGGCAAAAGCTGTGAAAGAAAGAATCCAGAGCCCCTACAGGTAGGAGAGCAGGGTACCCAGAGTCCCTGCGTCTGAGCAAAGCCCCCTAGTGAGTGCCCACCTGGGATCCGGGAGCCACCTCAGACCCTGGTTGGGCCCACAGCTACCAGAGAGCCCAAAGCGCTTAGGCAAGTTACAAAGCTGATTTCTACACGAAATTCTGATTTATGAATGAGGGCGGCTAATTTAAACACTGGAGCCGTGCCACCCCCTGGTTGACAACCTCTAAATCTAAAGCAACCAGTCTTTATTCCACACGGAGTGTTTCTGGAGTATTAACCACGTATGCCTCGCCCTATGTGGTAGGGTTTACAAAGCAAGATCAGGTCCCCGCCCTGAGAAGCCCCCACTGCAAAGCTCCCCTAAACCAGCTCTTTGCGGTCACAACAGCAGAAACACTGTCAGGCCAGGTGCCCACACCCACATATTCGCTCTCAAGTTCATGACCTGCAAGGGCCAAGGTGGTACAGCCGTTCTACAGACACAGGACGCAGCCCAGAGAGGTCGAGTGGCTTGCCTAAGATCACACAGCTGGAGTTGCTTGCCGGAAGGGCTGGGACTCAAAGCCGGGTCTACCCGCTCCCGAACGAGGGCTCCTGGCCCGACCTTTCTGTCTCGCTGAACTGAGCCCTGTGAGCAAGGGCAGCTCCCGGGAACTGAACCACAAGTGCACACACTGCCCATCTCTCTGGCCTGGCACCAAACTCCAGTGCCTCAGGACTGGACTGACGGGCTGAGAAACCCCAACCACCACGGGGCCAGGGCAACGACTCCCTGCAGCTGCTCTAAACCCCAGGCAAAGCCCTCAGACCAGAGCTGTGGGCGGCCAGGACACGCATGCACACGCACGCGCGCACACACACACACACACACAGCACCTTTCACCCCCCCACTACTGACCTGCCTATCCAGGCACACGAAGCCCAGCTGAGGCAGGGGTGAAGAGAGAGGAGCAGTTGGAGGGTTCCCCGGGGGAAGGGGGGGAACCCTCGCCTGGTAAACACCGCTCTTGGGGATCTAATTAGGCCACTTCCTGGGCAATGGCAGGCGGGCAAGGGCGTGGACAATAGCCCTGGACACAGGGACTTCGGCCCATCCAGGGACCGGGTCCCACTCCTGGAAGAGCAAAGCAGGGCAGGGCTGGGAGGAATGACCGTGTTTATCGCTCCTGGTCAGAGGCCTGGGAGCCCATGGCGGCATCTCCAAAGGCCAGCGGCTCCCTAGAAGCAACCCCCCCAAAGCTGGACACAGAGGCCCCCCCTACCAGGGAAGGCTTCAAGGCCTTTCTGCCCATTCACCAGTTCTTCTGCTGGTCACTGACAGCTGGCAACTAGGAGGGCCCCACAGAGGCCCTGAATGAAGGAACTCCTTTGCCAAGCCTCCAACAAATGACCCTTGGCTCACCCACCTCAGTGACGGGGAGCTCGTCGCCTCTCGGGCGGTCTCCTCCAGAAGTGAGCACTCCTTCTGGCTGAGGCCAAGTGAAGCCGACCCCCGTCGCTCCCTCACCCCCACCCCAGTGATTCTGTCCCAAGTCCAAAGACACCAACAGCAGAGACACACATATGGGACAGTCGAGGCCCCTTTACCTGGAGGAAGCAGAGCCCAGGGGTCAGACCTCACGATCACCCTGGTAGGGGGAATAGGGCAAGCAGCCCATTTTACAGTGGAGGGGACCCCCAAGGTCCAGTTGGGAGGGGACATTATTTCTTCTGCTGCTGGGATTGTCTCTCCCACTTCAGTCCCTTGGCTCAGGGGCCACGTCAGCCAGGCTGGCTCATCATCATCGTCCCTCTCAAGCCCCAGTGACTGGTTTAGGGACAGTCATGTGACCACAACCCTCTGAGAACCCTCTTTGGGACTTTTGCTGACCCACCGAAAAGAGATACTCTCTTTTGCTGGTGGCCTACAGCTGCTGGTGGCCACTGGAAATCACCACGGGAGACGGCCCAGTGAGAATGAAGCCAACACAGAAAACTGGAGAGAGACAGAGACTTGAAAATACCCCCCGAGCCCCTGGATCCAGCTGTGCCTGAAGTTCAAACAGCCTCCAGATATTTCAATCACACGGGACAATCATGCCTTTTTCAGATAAAGCCAGTTTGTGCTTCTGTCACTTGCAACCAAGAGGCCTTCTGCCCCAGTTTACTGTATCTGGGGAACCCTCATGGCCTCCTGATGGGTCCAGGGTCAGGGGGCAGAGTCCCACGCAGCTCAGGGGCAAGAGCAGGTGCCCGCAGATACGACTGGCCCCAGCTAGGCCTCCTGGAAGGGGGCTGGGCCAAGGAGGGGAACTTCCCTTGCCCATACCTCTGTCACCACATCCCGGACTCCACAGCCCAGAGCCAGCCAGGCTGCACGGGACGCGGTCCAGCAGGAAGCTGGGGCAATGGGCCTCCCCACATCTTCTCCAGTGGCCTCCAGAGTCTCCCTTCTGTGGGATGAATTAGGGAGCCCCGGGGCATACTTACATAGAAATGGATACCAAAGGAATCAACCTCACTCCCCCAGAGCACTCCTGTTGGGCCCTGCGCTTCCCACAGCCCTGTGCCCCATGAGAGAGGGGGGCGGGCAATGCCATCAACAAAATCCACCATGTACTTACTGCGTGCCCAGCGCTGTGGGCTCGAACTCCGCACACCCGCCCCGCAGGGCAGTATGACTACTGCTTCCATTTTATGAATGGGGGAACACAGAGAGGTTCAGTCATTCTCCTGAGGTCACACAGCTAGTAAAAGAGAGCTGGGACTTGAATACAGGCCACCTAGGCTCACCTCTCATCCTGCCCGACACTCTCACGGTGCTGACATCCCCAGAGCCCATAACCTCTCAAAATGCTAACCCCTTCCTGCCCTCCCCTCCCAAAGCCTAGGACCGAGGGTGGGAGGAGGCAAAGTGTACTCCGTCAAGGTTCCTCCATCCGCCTTGAAGGAGTAAAGTCAGAAAGCCACGTCAGGAGGCCTCCTCTAAGCCAGCAAGATCCAGGAGCACCTCTTCCTACAGGAAGCCCTCCAAGCTACCCACACACACCTTCTCCTCCTTTTCCTACAACTGAGGCAGGGCTGTGGTCTCCTTGCCAAATACTGACTGGGGGCTCCAGGTTCCTCAGCCAGAAGAACCGCCAGAAATAGGGAGGCTGGGACTTCAAATTATGAGTACAAGACCGGGCCCTTTGGGGTGCTCAGGATATCCTTCCCCAGCAGAACTGGCTGATCCCGCAGCACCCTCCGTGCTACCACACCCCTCGGGGAGTTCTAGCCCACCCCCAGCTTTCACAGACACAGACAGGGCACCCACTTCCTCACCCAAGCCGCACTGGCAGGAATCCCGGCCTGGCTTCCTCTGGCCCAGCCCAGCAGGCCTCGGAGCTGCACAGGGCCTGGGGCCCCGGTGGCCTCAAAAGGAGGAAGTGGGGGCTTTGGGGTGTGCGGGAGGGGCAGGCAGGCGTGAGGAGAGGCCCCACCTCGGCCCCTTGGGCTCAGTCCCTGCACCCAATCCAGCCTGGGGTCCATGATGCTGCAGCCCAGAACCCACAGACACAGCCTTAGCCTCCTC